ACTCGTAACCTCATCTCCCGTATCAGCTCGCTCCTAACCAAGCAAAGCAAAGACACGCGAGTGAGGGGCGGAACAGAGGACGACATCGCTCGCAAAGCAACGGTCAAGCATGGTCGATTCCACCGCCGAGCCAGTCAGCAGCTCTGCCCACGCTGGCACCTCTCCCAGAAGACCCTTCTCCCTTGCCTCAGCCTTTGAGAGCGTGCGCAACTCCATTCATTCCCAATTCCCATCCAGCGCATCCGCTGCATACTCACAAGGAGATGAGGATGCAACGCAAGCCGGTCCATCCGGTCTACCAGCCCCGCAACTCTCGTCCACCTCCACATTCACTCCTCCATCAGACTGGCCGCCTCTCATCTCGGAACGCAAACTAGCAAGGTTGTTCCCAGATCATTCGACGCGCGACGCTGTGCGACAATTCTACAAGGAGAGACAGCTGGATTGGGATTGCGATGCGCAGAGTTTGGGAGAGAGGAGTGAGAGCAACAGAGCTTCTGCTGCCCTGTTTGATCTGCTGGTCAGATTGGACGTGCAAGGTGCCTCGGATGCGGAGCACGAGCTTCATACAAGATCGGTGACCGGATCTGAAGGCGGTCCATCGGACAGTGCGCAAAAGAGCACATCCGAGCGATCAAGGTCGACTGTGGATCGTTCAAGAGCGTGGGAAGCGCACGATGTGCTGCAAGCTATCGACAAGAAAGACGTGGAGACGTTGATGCGTATTCGAGATGCATCTTTCGACCTCTTGCTGGATGCTGGTGGTGGAGTCGGTGGAGGAACAAAGAGCGCTTCCACTCCCAGCACACCTTTAGGATACGCCATATCTCTTGGTCCCGCTTGGGAAGGCATCGCAATCGTGCTGGTGGGCGCCATGAGCAGATTTGTAAATCAGTTGCCGGACGAGCAGGCTCAGCATCGAAGGGCTGATATCAGAGCTGGCAAACACGCGCTCCGAAACGGCACTCTTCAGACAGACACTATCACGCAAGCGAGACTGCGAAGGCTGCGGGTTAATCTCAAATTGGCAATCGAGTGAGTCAAAGTGGAGAGCGCGCCATTCCAATGCGTGCTTCGTCGGCGTCCTACGCCACGCATGCTCAATCTGACGATTGTCCTCCTTTCAGCCACTCCATCTCGCTCTCGCAGGTGCCTCTAGTGACTTCCTACGTTCAAGTCCTGTTCATGTCCGAAGGCTCCACTTTTCTTCACGACGGCTCCCTAGCCGTGCAGAGGGCGCTCTTGCCGCACACGCACGACTCCGCCTTATCTCCCCCCGCTCTCAACGTAGCGCGAGGAGCGGTGGAACGCTTCGTTGCCCCTCATTTACGAACTCGAGCAGGATCTAATCTAGGCAAGTCTTCCTCCTCAGCATCCTCAGCTGTCACGAGCATAGCGGCGCTAGAAGATCTGATCGCCAATGCCAGCTTGGACCTCGTGCTGTTGGCCCTTTGGGATCTGGTGCTCTTGCGTCAGAGCGAGTGGGATGTACTTTCTGGCACAACAGCAGCAGCTGGTGCAAACACGAGCAACGCATCTCCCAACACCTCCAACGCCTTGTCTCTTAATGCAGAAGAGCTTCAAGATCTTTCCGATCCTTTACCACTCTTCTTCTTTGCTAGGGATGACAGGATGACTTCGGCTTATCTGCAGCGGAGCAAATTGCTCGAAAAGGCCTTGGCTAGCTTGGAATTGAGTCGTAATGCCAGCAGCAAGAGGGAGAGGAGAGCACTGCGGATAGCTAGGAATGTGGTCCTGGCCCTGCAAGATGGAGCTAGACGATTGAGCGCCAAGGAGAGGGAGGAGAAAGTGGCGAGAGTCCTGCAGGCAGAGGGATGCTGAACAATGCTCAAGCTTCAATCCGCAAGCCAGAAAAAGGCGCGCGACGAGAAAAAGTTCGATGCCTAGTCCAAGACGATGCTGCAAGGATGTAATTTACAGCAAGATGAAGAGGAGTGAGTTGAGATGTATGCGTACAATTTAGCACAAAGATGCAGTGTGAATGCACTGAGGAGAAATCGTGTCCCGGAGAGAAATGCAAAGGAAACTACACGCTAGAAACGTTTGCATGCATGGATGATCAGGTGGCGCCCTCTGGAGCTGGCGTCCACGATCCGTTAAAGTAGGCAATGGCGGCGCGCGTGTAGTCACCTGGAGAGCCTTGCGAAGTGAAAGCAAGGCGGAGGTAATCTGCATGGGAAGAGCACGCAGCAAGATTAGCGAGAAACAATTAGCAAGCTTATGGGCCGTTTGGCATTCCATAACTTACGAGGCTGCGATGCGAGCGTCGCATTGAGCGCAGCTGATCCACCAGGATACAGAGTGGTATTCATACCACTATTGCCCATGGGAGCGTAATCATCGATGAGCGAAGTCATATTGAAAGATGTGCCTTCGCCAGCATAGCGCAGCACGTCGTCAACCAGCCTGAAGCATTAATGAGAAAGGGTAAGCAATCAGCCAACACCAAGAAGACTGCATGTCTCGAGAGCAAAGCGACTCACAAGTGGAAGCCGTCCCAGCTGTCGGTCTGATTGCCAGGTATGGCATCCCACTGGACCATGCCAGTCGCATTCGCGGAAGGACCAAAGCCTGGCAAGCCTGTCCAGTTTTGAGCTGACGCAAACGAGGGCAGTCCGGTACCGAAGGTGCCGTCCCCGACTATGTCTGCAATATCGGTAGCGATGGGGTCGAAGCCCCATCTGCCTACCCCGTTCAGGTACATCCCAAGGCAGAATGCAACATAGATGAGCTGCAAGTTAGAGCAGAGCTTGCGTGAGCATCTTGGTTCCTGCTCCCAGCTATGGTGATGTGCAACTCACACTGAGACGCGTGGGAAATGCGCAGAAGCATACGAGTACGAGCGCGATGATGTAGTGGTGCAAGCGCAGCCCCGTCGTGGGAACAGCAGCACACAGACCGACGATGATTCCTCCGACGACTGCCAGCGCGAGATACTTCGGAAGAGCCCCCACTTTACGGATCACGCGGATCTGGTTGACGACAATAATGATGACGACGACGATAATGACGATCAGGGCAGTCAGGGCACCCGGCTGTGACGCGATATCCGAGGCGACCAGTCTTTGGAGGGGCACATTGGCAAAGACGACCTAATTGCAATGCGCATGCGCACGCTTCGAGTAAGTCTGGAACGAAGGGTTGCGGAAGAAGACTAAGTTCATCAAGACTCACATTGAGCATCGTACCAATCCAGAAGAATCCCAAGGTCCAAATTTCTCTTTCGATCGGCAGGCGTTCGAAGGCGGGCCAAACGTATCGCACAGCGACCCTCCAAATGACATAGGCGCCAAAGAGAGTCGGTAAGAAATCGCCAACCGGGCCTCCCACTTTCGGAGGATAAGCTCGCGGTTCGGACAGCATATTGATGTGCCAGAATCCGGTGCAAACGAGGATCCAAAAGTAGACGATGCGCTTGGGACGCAAGACAAAGGCCACGAAAGCCAAAAGCGCGACATTGAGCGCATATCCGCGTTCTCGAGTGTCATGACATCCGCTTTGCTGAGCTGATTCGTCAAAGAAGAAGCTTACAGGGAACGTCGAGTTGAAGCCGATCGAGGTGAGCCCGTTACGCGCCGCTGACTCGTAGGACGTGCTGGCGCCGCCCAGCCAAAGTGTTCCGCACCCGCCGGTCCGACCATCAATGACGCCTGCGTGTTGAGCCGCGGCACATACAAATGAGTCCGCGCGGTAAACTCGGCGTCCATCCACCAGATTGTCGCCACCACCGACGATAAGGGGCACAAAGTTCGGCAATTCGGAGCCCACGGCGCGAGCGCTGCCCAGCGTCGTTCCAGCGCAGCCTGCAGGACAACGAAATGGTACCGATGAATTAGATGCGAAGGGAGCACAAGACTCTCCGTCAACGCCGCATTGTGCATTTCCCAACTGAAAGATGGACCAATGCAGAGCGTCAGCTTCTCCGTGCGCGAACGTCGGAATCCGCCCAAAACTCCGTGCTCACCCAGAAGGTCGAAGTACATCCGTAAAAGTCCGGTTCGAGCACTTGCCCCGAGCCAAGCGTAACTCGACTCTCATACCACAAGCCTTTGACGAGGTATGCGAATCCCAACACCCAAGCAATGAGCACTGCAACGAGCAGGAGCCAATGCTTCCAATTCAGCCTCCACTCTCTCTTGACGTGATCCTTCCACTCCAGCCCCATTCCAGCACCTTCCTTCGATTGAGATGCGTCAGGCAGCAGACTTGGAGTATCAGGCGCCCGCCAAGCGACAGGACTTGTGAACTTGGTCCACTTCGACTCTACACTGGCGAACGGCCACCAACGGTAATGTCTAATGAATAACCGCGAGCGTGGATGTGGCCCATCCAGGAAATTCAAAATCTTGAAGCCAGCACCTCGCCGCGAAGCGCTGGCGGACGTGCGGTCGACGGCTGCAGAGGAGGCGACCGCTGGATCGAGCAGACTGCTGCGTTCTTTGGACGATAAGTTGTCAGACCGGCTGCCCGAGGCATCGTACAGCACTGCTGGAGAACCCCAAGCTGATTGTGGGTAAAGGGGCAGGGAAGCCTTTGGGGTACTGACCTGATCCACGCTAGGCGTGGCCAAGGCGATAGAGTCCCGAGGTGATTTGGCACCAGTACCTGAGCGCAGTGCACCCGAGCGCATTCTCTCAGACAGACTGCGAGGGTGCAAGACCCACATGATAGCTGGAGTGTCCGCGTCAAGGGTCTCGTATGGAACCTTGTCCGATACCCAAGTGGCGCTCCAGATGTTGGTGGTGAAAGTGGTCATGCCCGCTCTAGATGCTTGATCAAGAGTGTTGAGTGTATGCGACGTGGGACTGCCTTTAGATGGCGGTAGCTGAAGTGCGCTAGAGAGACCCGCGAAGGGCCTAGAGTCCTGCCTACTCCAGCTAGGTTGACCTCCCAAGACCCGAATAGGCAGAGGTAAACGAGGGCGAAGCGCGCCGGCCTTCGACCATCGAGAGCCTTTCCAGAATGCCGAGTGAGCTGCTTCAGCATCCTCCACAAAAAGAGCTTGCCCGCGCGCCTTCTCAGCTGTCCCTCCGATCTTTTCGACGATATCCATGACCTTGTCCTTGGTTTCGGCGGTGCACCAGAGCTCCTCAATATGAGCCGCAATACATTCGCTTTCCGGCATGAAGTTGTTAAAAAGAGCGTCCACGCCTTCCCGCTCCGCTTGTTCGATAAGGGCGCGGCCGTGTATGGAGGGACCTGCTATGCCGTCACTGCTGAAAATGAATGGCAATTCGTCGTTAGGCGGAAGGGCCATGTGCGTCATGTCCGAGATGAGGGCCACGAGGGCGGACAAGTCTACAGCGACCGCTTTGGAAATCCTAGCAGGGGTGGCCAGAGCTGGGGGTGGCAAGAGACCTCTTCGCCAAGTCGGCTCGCCTTTCTCCAGCAAAATGCCTTCGCGCAAGATGGCGCTTCGAAGAGCGGACAATCGAGACAAGAAGCGATCCTTCGCCTCCGGACTGGGATACGATAAGCCCATATCTTCTTGCATGGCACTCATGCTGCTGTCTTGAGCGCCTAGCGGCAGGTGTGTAAACTTCAAGACGATCTGCACATCCTTCTTGAGGGCATGCTGATCGATTGCCGCCTTCTTTGCTCGTACGAGTTCTTGGGTGAGCTTCGAGATCGAGCTGTTCCTCAGCACCTGGTCCAGACCGTCCGAACCCATTTCGCTACCAGCCCTCGAATCGGAGGCTTCGTCCATGACGCGCCATTCTTGCAGCAAGGCAGACGGCCTGATGCCTACGATGCGCACCCATCGCCCTCCTCCATCAGACACCACATCCACCTTTGCTGTGCTTTTCGCTTTCGAGCTGCTTCCGCTCAGCACCGCTCCGTCGTCAATTGGAGCAGGAAAGCTGACATTCACACCGGCGATCGGTACGTGTGACGTGGCCTCCTGCATCAAAGCAGCACATTGCGCGATCAGATGTGGAGCGTTGGAAGAGGTAGGCGGGGTGGACGACTGGTAGATGTTGCAGCACGCAAGTGTGAGCACTGTCACAGAGGGGCACAGCTGGCACAGAGCACTTCCGCTCACCTGACAAGCTCTCAGCTCGTTTTGTAACGCGGACAACAGAGGCTTGACGCCGGGGATGTTCCACCTACCACCTCTCCTCTCCTCAATCTCTTCCCAGGCCGACCCGATCAGTAACCTTGTGGCGCCTTCCGCCCTGTCCGCTACCGTAGCTGTCTGCGGCAGCCCTGCAGCATCAAGCCCAGCGTATGTTCGTAGTGTGGATATTACCTCTTGCAATCGCAGTATGCGGCCGTCGTTGTCGGTGTCAGCACCTCCTTGCTGGCGCGAGTCTGTCTGCTGGGATCTGTCGGACATCTTTGTATCGCCGTCGCCTTTGGCGCGCCTTTGAAACGTTTGTGCAAATTCTGCGCCAGTCGTGCTCCTATGCATGTGATGAGCACAAGCGAGACACATTCAACAAGACATGTCCAGATGACAGCAAGGTCGAGGATCGAGCGGCGGAATTGAGGATGCGGATAGCATCAGGAGCACGGATGGTGAGCTTCGTATTCACACAGACTCGCTTCGCCGCCACACGACGGCCGTTGAGCGTCGCGGAACGGCTCATCTGCATGCAGTAGTGCTCACCAGCAGCACAGCCGCCACTCGCCGCTCGCCGCCCCGAGACCGTTGAGCCAAGGATTAATTTTGGCAAACACGCGCTCGCAGCCATGATGCCTGGGAGCGCGTGTCGGCAGGCAGGCGTGCGGCGCTCTTCAAAAACCTTTAACTGGCGAACGACTGACACGTGACCAATCTTTTAGCGCTGCGTTCTCCATCTGTGAGACCGCGTGTGGAGTCAAGAGGGACGGTGGTCGGGCGATTCGATCGTGATTCCATCGGTCTGTGAATGAATGAATGCCGCAGAGGACGGCGCTTCTTCCACCCCATTTGCCATCTCGCTGGATCGATCGTCATGAAGCAAAAAAGCGCGAACGTCAGTCACTACCGTCAAGACCTTTCTACAATTGATGAGGCTTTCTCTCAAAGTGTCTGGCTCAGAACAAAGGCGAGAAAAGAGCAATCTCGTCGCAACTGTACGAAGAATAGGACTTGAGCGGACGGGCTGACGGGGCCAGTGCGAGCCTTGCGAGCGTACTGAAGTTGAGCCACTTTGTGTCTAGTTCATCTCGCTGGCTATGCGCCATCATGCATGTTGGGAGTAAGTCCATGAACCGTTGCACGCACGAACGCCAGCAGAACAATTGACGGCGCACGCCTTGGTCACGGGACTCACTCGATCGAGCAGTCTGGACAATGCCACACCGCTCCTCCACCTCTACATTCCCAGAGGCTTGGCGCAACAATGCTCAAAGATCGGACCTGCTGCCATCGTGGGATGGCTTGTGCGCGGCGGTCCTGACGAGACGATCATCATTGTAGCAGGCGCGCTTGCCTTGCACCATGAAGCCCTCTCGATGATCGAAAAGACGCAGGAGCTGGGTGAAGAAACGAGGCCGAGCAAGCCATCCATACTGGGCACCTGCAATGTCGGTATTCAACAGTCTGACCCTCACAGCCACGAGGAGAGGCTGCGCATATACCGCGCTCAACGTGATGTCTGGCTCGAGGCTGGGGTTGCCGAAATTTCGCCTCGTGGGCCCCTGTCGTATTCGAGGAAACGACTGGAGATGTGAGTGGAATCAGACTCATGATGAGTAACTGCGCGGCACGATGTCATCTCTAGTCTATTCAATCTGCTGACTTACCTTGCGCCGGTAGACGCTCCATCGCGCTCCGATTCTCATGCAGGGCAGCTCCAGCACTGACCGTCATCAACTACATTCCCCCAAAATCTAATGCCCTGCAATTCCTATCGCTCGAGCCTTTGGTCTTGCTACAGCCAGCGCAAGGCCCCCAGCCAACGAGCGAAGCAAAAATCACTCGTCCCAGGTACGCTCATCTTTCCGCCAATCAATATCTTCAACAAACAAGGGCTGAAAAATTAGTAGCTCTGGATCCAGTGAGGATGAAAGATGCGATGGATTTGCATCCAAAAGGTCGAGCACCTGGGTCTGGGCTTAGGAAGGCTGTCGAACTGGTGAGTACGGCATATTGCAACCGTGTCAGATTGTCTGTGAAACGCCGTGCTGAGAGGCCCATGGCTATCATAGATCAACCGAGCGTCTACCTGCATGAGTAACTTAGACACACCTCCTCGCGAGACGCGTCACTCGCAAGAATGCTCGGCCTCAGCACTCACCGATTTGAGCATTATGTTGTTTCCATTGTCGCGCATGTGCAGCATCCTTCAGACAATTCTCCGCACATCTCTGGGTGCGGCAAGAGACGCAGGTTTGGTGGGCGTAAGCATGGCAGGTTAGTGCAGCGGCAGTTCCTTTTTGGTCGCACCGTTGTCCAATCTCACCTTATGCTCTTCGGGCTGAGCACAGCCTGCCAACTTGATCTTCGTCTGGGTCAACTCTCAACATGGCCCTCTTTGGGCAGTCGGCTCCGACGGTGGCGTCGATCTGGCTTGGTCCCAATCTCGGATCTCAGCGCACGGTACATCAGTCTTTGGAACGGTGTCTGGCTCGTCGCCAACGACCTCATCATTGGGCACGCCGTCGGCGCGTTCGTCTGCGATCACCATCAAGCTATTGCTGCTGCAGTCTCTCAGGCAATCCAGAAAGTCGCGCTGGACTCTATTCAGGAATTGCTCGTGTGGCTCGGCAATTGGCCGGCTGGTATTAAGCTCAATGCTGAGCTGGCCTCCTTCTTTGGAGACATGTTCAGAGGTCTGATAGACTTATGGGAGCATACGGCATACAAGACTTTTCATGCGCAGCTGCCACAAGCTGTCGTGCTGATCGGCATGAGTGGTCGATATTTCGGACTCACAATGCTACTGTCTCTCACTTCCGACCTCATCTCAATCTCAACGCTTCACCTTTCCATTTTCTACATTTTGGTAAGATACATCAACACCTTTTTCCTCCATCTGCTGGGCGTCCTCTTTCATCTGTTTCGGGGCAAAAAGCGCAATCCTCTACGGGGTGGACGAGTAGATGATGCGACGTATGATGTTGATCAACTAATGCTGGGCACGATTCTCTTCACTCTGCTAGCGTTTCTCTATCCCACCGTCTTTCTATACTACGTTGCCTTTGCCAGTGTCAGGTACTGCATCGTAGCTGCGACCACAGCTCTTGACACTCTGAGAGCAATCTTTAACCATCTGCCCCTCTTCGCCATCTTGCTGCGGATCAAGGATCCCTCTCGTCTACCAGCCGGAATCAACATGCAATGGATCGACGACTCGCGCGACTCGCAATTTCCCTCTGCAGCCTCTCATTTCGAGCTGCGTAGCGTTCCGCTAGACATCACCTCGCTGTTTGTCGGCTATCGCTCCCACTTTGCCGGACTCATTGCATTGCCGTCTCTTCTCGCAGCTATCTTTACAGGACAATACATCTCAGCTCCAGACGGCACAGGCGCGCATCCATAGCACGAAGAATCACAGTAGTGTCGACTCATCGCGGCGCACAGCCCACGAGATTAGGTCAGAGGAGCTCTTCAATTAATTGTAATTCATGTCTTGCCGTTAGACTTTCTGTGCGCTGCAAGATGTGTGAGAAATTGTGAAATTTACGACAATGTCGCCATGAAAGATGGGAAGAGACAAAGGAAAGCACATTAACGCTGCATCACGCTCTGGCGAGAGATTTCTTGAGAGCATAAAGAGCTACCTTCTTGAGGGCTCCTCGCAGATTGCGCCCACCTCTGCAAGCGTTGCTCTCAAGCCAAGACTCCATTCTACCTCGCAGAATCCGCAGCTTGTCCAAAGCGGCGCTAGGGTCGCTAGGATCGTCCAGCCTGACATTGAGCATAGAGTCGAAGAACTCTTGCCAAATATCAGTCTGCCAGTATCTTCTCAGCGTTTGAGTGATGTTGTATCTGCCATGGCCGGCATCAGAATTATCCTGCGCTTTCGCGGTCTCGATGTACTTGCCAAAAAGCAAGCAGTGTGACACACTAGCCACCCCGTAATAGTCCGCCTCGAAAGTCCATGGTCTGCCTTCGCGCATCTGGGGACAGTCCTTTTCGTCCGTGTCCCAGTCGGCCAGGAAAGTCTGGCCTTGCGGGTAGAGGTGGAGGTCGATGGCTCTGCCAAAATCGATGAGCGTGATTCCCTTGGCTGACCAGCCATCCTGGCCAGCGCTAGAATAAGTGTTGGCCCAAGTGACGCCTCGTGGCGGCTCGTCCAGCCGTAACAAGCAATTGTCGATCTTTACATCTCCGTGAACGAAGCGAGCAGTGTGCAGAGCTTCGACAAGACGAAGCAATTCAATGGTGAAGAACATTGCCAGCGTCTCGTCCACTCCACTTCCACCACCGCCGCCTCCAACGTTTGAACCTGCAACACCAGCAGCTTGGGCATTGTTGACCATGTCGAGCAGCGTGCCCCTTTCGGCATACTCTAGCAGCAAGAACGATTCGTCCTGATAGACAAAGCACTTGCGTGCAGACACAATGCTATTGAGGCTTTTCCTCTCAAGCCGTGCTCTAAGTTGGCCCAAGATGTAGAATTCCAAGCGATTGGCTGGCGACTCGACTTTCACAGCCACAAGCCTTCTCCTTTCCGCTTCCTCTTCGTCCTCTTCTTGATCTTCTTCTCCCATACGCGCAGCTGCACTGCCTTCAAAGCTCGAGTCGCCCGCGATACCTCCTATCGCCTTACGAGGAGCCG